TAAACCCTAAACCCTAAACCCTAAACCCTAAACCCTAAACCCTAACAGCCGAAGGGCGTCATTTGCGGCTAGGTCCTATGAATGCGGCGCTCGTGAAAAAGTACTTAGGGTTTAGGGTTTAGCATGTAGTGTTTAGGGTTTAAGCTCGTAGGGTTCTGAGGGTTTAGGGTTTAGGGTTTAGCATTTAGGGTTTATCGCTTACGCTTTAGAGGTTTTCAGGTTTAGATTTAGCAGGATATACGGTTTATATTATTAGGGTTTAGGGTTAATATTATTAGGGTTTAGGGCCCTTATTAGGGTTTATTGTTTAAATTAGGGTTTAGGGTTTAGGGTTTACGCTATTAGGGTTTAGGGTTTAGGGTTTATACTATTAGGGTTTAGGGTTTAGGGTTTATACCTGTAGATTATGCAGCATTGTTCTCCCAAAGGCATCATGCGGATTAAACTGCTCGTAAAGAATTAAACAACTCGCATTAAAAGGCGTCGCTGAGGCGGCCAGGCGGCCCACCGCAGGACCTGCAAACAAACAAAACACGAAAAACAAAGCTGCCTATACACCCCAATTGCAACCTGAAAATATATAAATAAATAAATAAGTACATCAATACATCAATAAATAAATAGAGAGACAAACAAATAAACAAACAAACAAACGAAGTAAACAGACAAACAAACGAAGTAAACAAACTAACAAACAAAACAAACAAAACAAACAAACAGACAAAATAATAAAGAGAAAAAATAATAAAGAGACAACAAATAATAAAATATAGATCCTTACCGCATCCGCCTCTTCAACTCGCAGATAAATTAAAACACATTCACACAAAAACAACGTCGGCAAACTGCACGCACAAACCCTAAACCCTAAACCCTAAACCCTAAACCCTAAACCCTAAACCCTAGACCCTAGACGATAGAGGACAAACCCTAGGCCTTAAGTAATGCTTCGTAAACCCTAAATCCTAAACTGTAAAGCGCAAACCCTAAACCCTAAAGCGCAACCACTACTAAACCCTAAACCCTAAACCCTAAGCCCTAAGCCCTAAGCAAGTGTGTGTAATTACAGCTACAGCAGAAGCAAGAGGTAAATAAATAAAATAAGCATTTTAAAGAAAAAAGAAGTTTAGCTGCGTATACACCTAAAACAACTAACTCTTTTCTTAAGCCTGCTTCATCCATCGATGTTTTTAATGCATT